GTGCTCCTGAGTCTCCTGTAGCTGGATGCTTGATTGTCATTTTGTTGGATGGGGGATCAGTTTTGGTTATATAGCATCTAATGCCCACGGCCCAGCCCTAACCTGGAGGCATGAATGTGATGTAACTGGTACATTAGCATTGGGTTGCACTGGGAAGCTAAACCAGTTTGGAATGCAGATGAGGAGGGATTTCTGCCCTGCTGCAAAACCTTTCAGGGCTGATGTGGAAGATCCAGCTTTGCACTGGAGCGAATCCAGACCCTGCTTCCCACTCTGGTTGTGAAATACGAGGTAAATAAAAACATAATTGTTATTTTGTGGAAGGGCTCTTGGAGGCTTTGGAAGAGAGGAAGGTGACAGCTACGGAGCGGGAATATCCAGAACTGCGGTAGCATTTGTTAAGCTACTGGCAAGAAAGAGTTTACTTCAGCCTTCTGTAACTTCATTTAAAACGTGATATAATTACTGTTTACGCTACAGCCTAAAGCTGCTTCCTGTTTCCAGGATAGTAATTATGCCAGAGGCACACCAAAGTGTATCGGCCCAGGATATGGTCGTTACCACATTAATAGGAAGTACCTTCAAATTGTTATACTTGGCAATAACTATATCCTGGAGTAACAAACTTCTCGCCATTCAGCTTGTGAGTTTATAAGCATCTCCTGACGAGAATAAACAGGAAAGCACCGTTCCTCTCTCCCCTGCCCCATCGCTTTAAATACGATTAATTCATCTTAAAGATGGCTTTAAAGAAGGACTTGACTTGAAGACACTGCTGGTGACACCAGTATATGCTAAAGAAAGGGATCTGTGTTCACCCAGTGTTATTGCTGCTCGATCTTTACCCAGTGCTGTTGCACTGGGTGACTGGGGTGGGGAACAGGACAGCTGGAAGTTGCCTCTGTGGTACAGTAACTCTGAAATGGAGTTGGTGTCTCCAGACAGCTTGCTGCCAACCCATATTGCTGCTCCGGGGTGGAGTGTACCATGCTGGGGTGAGTAATGGCCTTTTCAGAGGGTTGGTCACCAGGAGGAAATGCCACATCAAGTGGTCATTTAATTCTGTAGCTTGACTTGGATATTTGGCAGTGGCTGTTGTTGGTCTCCTGGATTTCTTGTTGTAGCAGCAACTTGTTTTAATTTCTTGAACCAGCTTGAAGCACTGTATTTATTGACTTTTGTTTCCAACGAGAAAATATGTAAAATTTAATTAATCCAAGCTGAAGTTAAAAAGAAAACAAACAAACCTCTGCATTGGAGGGGGTTAAGGGACTGGAGTCCTTTGACTTTTTTTTCCTGTGGGATTCAATCTGAGTTCTTGTTTCACTATTTTTTGCACTCCAGCTTGCTCTGTTATAGAATCATAGAATGGTTTGGGTTGGAAGGGCCCTTAAAGATCATCCAGTTCCACCCCCCCTGCCATCAGCAGGGACACCTTCCACTAGACCAGGTTGCTCAATGCCTCATCCAACCTGGCCTTCAGCAATTCCAGGGAGGAGCATCCACAGCTTCCCTGGGCAACCTGCTCCAGTGTCTATGGTAGGATGCTCTGGTGGTATTGAATGTGTGCTGCTTTCTGGGCACTGTTGCTCCATCAGTGAAACCTGCCTGAGTTTTTTTTGGACTCTGAAGTGCATGATGGTTGAGACTTCATCCTTAGTTCTGTTTAAAAACTTCCCTGGTGCTTCCCTGATTGCTGAGTGTGGTCTGCTTCGGGCGCTCGGTGAGCTGCACGCGCCGTTGTGCTGTCAGGGGAGGTTTGGAAAGGCCGTACCATACCACATGGCCCAGCTTACTGGGGAAATGCTGCAGCATCCTGGGCTGCCTTGGAGTGCAGATGGAAGAGGAAATTACTGTTACTTGTGTTTGTCTTCAGTAAGAGGAACAATAACTTCAACAGGCAACCTCAGTGCTTGGTATTCCTTTCCTCGTAACCTGGAATTGGCAGGCGGATCTGAAAGGGCCTCGTGCATCCTGGCTGTGGCAGGAGAACTGGCTGTCTGGATAAACATTTCCAGTAGGATTGGAGAGTTTCCTGAACTCCCTCTGTTCCCTCCAAATTATTGCTGGTACAGGGGGGGGATTCCTGGAGATGGCTGTGCTTGTGCCAAGTACATTTTGCACCACATGAGCCAGCTCCTTCTTACCTAGGAAGCAGCAGACTTGGGCGCTGGGCTCTCTTGGCTCCATGGGGTTGGATCCCAAAGGTTTATACTACCTAAATATTGCAGGCAGCTTTTCCATTCCCTCAATACTATGGACTGAATGCTTTGTGGGAGTGCAGGGGTTAATCAGGTTTGTGCATCTCATGGCGATTAACTCTCCACAGCTCTGGTTCCATGGGATTTGATGATGGATGCTAAGGGAGGGTCGCGTAGCTACACGCTTCACGTTGTGTTTAATCCCTTCAGGTCCCTCTGTCTACTCAGGAGTCTCCATCCACTGCAGTGCTGATGCTTTCTTGTCTGCAACGACTGCAGCTGTGAATTGCAGGAAGAAAACAGAATAAGACTCTTGGAGGAAAAGCTGACTAAACACATGTTCACATATTTGGCCAGTGTAAAATGAGCCGGACTGGAGCTGACTGGCAGCGATTGTTTTACGTATCTACTTATTCCAGCATCACTGTCACAGCTTTTTACTGCTTTGAATCCCATTCTACTATTAAATCAGCTTCTCAAGGCTATCTAAAGGCTGGAGCACCTCTCATATGAAGACAGGCTGAAAGAGTTGGGGCTGTTCAGCCTGGAGAAGAGAAGGCTCTGGGGAGATCTTATAGCAGCCTTCCAGTACCTGAAGGGGCTACAAGAAAGCTGGGGAGGGACATTTCATAAGGGCAGTTAATGACAAAACAAGGGGAAATGGCTTTAAGCTGAAAGAGGGGAGGTTTAGATTAGATATTAGGAAGAAGTTCTTCACTGTGAGGGTGGTGAGACACTGGCCCAGGTTGCCCAGAGAAGCTGTGGCTGCTCCTCCCTGGAAGTGTTCTTGGCCAGGTTGGATGAGGCTTTGAGCAACCTGGTCTAGTGGAAGGTGTCCCTGCTGATGGCAGGGGGATTGGAACTGGATGATCTTTAAGGTCCCTTCCAACCCAAACCATTCTATGATTCTATGATCTTGCCATACATCTTCAGTTTTTACTTATAGGTCTATCTAAGTGTTATAGAATCCTAGAATCATTAAGGTTGGAAAAGATCTCCAAGATCATCAAGTTCAACTGTCAGCCCAACACCAACATGCCCACTAAATCATGTCCTGAAGTGCCATGGCTACAAGTTTTTTTAATACCCCTGGCAAAACTGTGCTTTGGTCTTCCTTGTTCTTGATCATTTAAGCAATTTAGTATTTTCCTGTGCTTACTCTTACACTAGTGCTTCCAACAGGAATCAGGCTCCAAGATAGTCACTGTTAGCAAGAGGTGTACATTTGGCAGGACTTGAAATACTGATTTGAAGGCTAAAAGCTGTGGTTTGCTGTTAATCTTCAGTGGGACTGTCTTACGGACAGTCTTGGTTCACTTTTGTTTCGCTGTGTGCTGGGGAAAGCCTTGCCATGCCAGTGTCCTGAGCTGGATATTGGGAAGAATCTAACAAATGCTGATGCTGGAGAGGATGTGTTTAAAATTATCCTGGCCTGGAACTGGCAGTGGCCCACACTCTTCTTCAGAAGAGCAAAGTCAGGAAGGAGGAGACTTCCAGGGCCCAGCCGGGGCTCTTTGGCCAGGCCATCGCGCCAGTTCTGTTCTCATGGTGCACGAGGGAGGAGAGAAAAAATAACTGGACTTTTTTGTGTGTGTTTGAAAAGATTTGGCATATTTCCAGAAGGCAGTGGAGGGAGAATCTCCTTGGTGCTTTATGGGGTTTTTTTTTTCCCCTTTTTTCTTTTTTTCTCTTTTCCTTTTTTCTTTTCTCTTCCATGCAGGTGGTTGCCATGAAGGTGAGGTGTGTTGTGAATTGCTGTCTCATCACTGGCATCCCTTTCCCAGGCATTTGCTTTGCTTGCAGCCTTTCTTGAGACAGCACCTGCCTGTGCTCTGGGTCTGTGTTGTTCCCCAGCCAGCGTGAGCTTAGCAGCCGAACTGGTTATTGTGGGTGTCAGCTGTAAAGGTGCTTCCCTTGCCTTTGCATGGGGAGCAGCCTGTGGAAAAAAACTGTAAAACTTCAAAGCATATTTGAAGTGAAAGTAGCGTTCCCCTCAAGGATGGAGAAATATTGCTGTTAACCTAACGAACTAGAGCTTTTTTGGGGTAGAAAGGGGACAGTGCAATAACTTCAGTAGCAAATGCTGGATGTTTTTGTGCGTTCCTTGACTTTGATTGGAAAAAGAAAAAAATCAAGGAGCCTTTTTCCACTAAAGTTGAGACTTCACAGGCCAGTTGTGGCCTCACTTTCCCATTCTCACCATCTCTGTTGTACCAGCTCTGCTCACCTGACCCCGTGTAATGTGATTCAGTTCATTAAGCCACGAGCAAACAATGTTTTTCTTCTGTCTGGATTTTCACCAGTGTATGGGGCTGAACTGACTTCCTGAGGAAGCACATGAACTCTTCCAAGACTGGAGAGCAGTGAGACTTGGGGCTGGGGAAGAGTAGGATGCATTCAGTGATAGTGAGACTAGAAAAACTCTCAGTCTCTTGAAGGGGTACATGAGTATCAGACCAGTGCTAGGTTCTGTTTTCACATTTTCAGCTAACTTAAGAACCTGGGACAAACCACTTTCCTTGTATTTTTGAGGATACCTTCTGATAAGTTTTTAATTTTATTTTTTTCTGTGTGTTGTACTAAAAATGCTACTATCTATAAATCATACAAATACCACTTAGTGTCTGTCTCCTGAAGTTACTAAATTGGTGTTAAGTCCCTGCTGTTTCTGTGTGATTGGAAGCAGGAGGTGCTAATGTAAGAAACAAAACATAAGAAATAATACCCTTTTAATGTATTTGTGTTGGTTGAAGAAAAAATTTAATGACTTCCACTTATTGTTGCTTTATCTTTCTGCAGGGATGTAAAAGCAGGAAATATTCTTCTTGGAGAAGATGGCTCAGTGCAAATTGCAGGTAAATTTCTGGGTAGTTTTGAATAAACTTCAGGTGTAACTTTGCATCCAAAGAGATGGTTTAATGATCAAGAAGAAATCTACATAAAAATGTTAGCTTCAAGAAACCTCTCAGTTCTTAAAACAAACAAACAAAACAAAGCCAACAACACCAAAAAACCCAATAATAAACCACAAACAAAACAAAAAAAAAAAACCCAACACAGAGTTTATAACATCTTGTTATCTTAAAATGCCATTCTTTGGAATAGTGACAGTCAGCATGAATAAATCCTTTAACTGTTAAGTCCTCAGAATCAACAGATTAGATAAAATTCTTGGCATAAGCTAGTTAGATTTTTAAAACAGCAAGTTCATAGGCTTGGAAATAGACTGCACAGACCTCACTGATTTACCATCCACGTGTAAGGTGGTTTTCAGAAGGACTATGGTGAGCAGCAGATAGATTGATCAGAAGGGAATTGGTATGTCTGATGGTAAAAGTCACTTGCAGCTTTACCTTAACAAAAAATCTGCTGGTCAAACTGCTCATGTGGATGATCTCCAGTCTGCTTCAACAGAACTGAGTGGCAGAGAGCATGTTCCCCAAACTGGGGTGAACTGGAAGCCTCGGAAGCAGCCGTGCAGCCTGAGGGACAGGGTAGGGAAGCCTGTTAAGACAGTTACTTTAGCTAATACAGATGTGCCTGGAGATGTCTGTGGTAGTCACTCTTGTCATGAGCTGCATCAACAGAGGTATGTTGGGAACAGTCCTTGGAGTGGATGGATCATATGTCTGTGGAAAAGGGTGTTGTGTGACTTTTTTTTATTTTTTTTTTTTTTTTTTTCCCCCCCCCCCCAACTACTCTAATTGTCTTTTATTTCATCCATGTTCCTACAGAGTTTGCTCTTCTTTCCAGAAATCAGTAATTATTATTATTATTGTAGAATATTAAGCAAGACAAGATTTTTGAAGAGTACATTTAGAACCTATGAGACTTGTTCCTCTTCTTCCCAGTGTGCTGTTTCCCTATCCTGAGTACAGTTCCTCTCCAACTGTCCTTTCCCTCAGGACTCCTCCCATTAATCTTGTGGTGCATTTCCAGTCCTTGTGCCACCTCTAGCTGGAGGACAGAGCTTGCATCTTGTCCTGCCATCTCAGCAAACATCCTTGTACATGTTTAACTTTTCCAATCCCATATTTAATTGGAAAGAGCCAGATCTTTTTGTGGTAAGGTCTCTTTTTTTAGTGCACTGTCTTGCTGGTGAAGGCACAGCAGTGGGTCAGACCAGTGTGCTGGGGGTTAAGGGACAACAGGGCTTTGTGGCTGTGACTGTGTGTCAGGCAGAAGTGTTTGCTGCATTGTATAGTGCAGAGAGTTTCAGACTCTTTTGGTGTATCCATGCCTGGATTTGCATGAATGAAATGAAATGTGTAGATTTTCCACCAGGAAGCAGAACACGTTGCAATGCACAGTTTTTTTTATAGGTAGCTCTTCTACCTCTGCAGAAGAAAATAAGTCCTTTTACAGGACATAACACCTGAAATACAGGACTTCTGTTTAAAACCTTGCTTTGTTTCCCCTTTTAAGCCTCCTAGTGCTCTTAATGCCCGCTGTAATATTTCTAATGAGGTGTAAATAATTCATCCCATGTGGCAGCTGATGGAAGGTAGGGAGTGGCTCCTGAAATGGTTCTAAAATCCTACATTTTTTTCCATAATGGGGCTGAGATGTAACATTTTGGATTTGTAATTGTACAAGAGTTTTAGATTAAGTTCTGGGAGAGGATGCAAATAGCTGTTGCATTAGAACAATGCATTGTTATTCCAAGTGTTTCTGCCAGCCTAGCAGAAAACTGCTTGTGTTTCTTTTCCACAAGGGTGCCAGGGCTTGGGTGGTTTTTGTTTTGTTTTGTTTTTTTAATTAAGGCTCATTGGTAATAGGTACTTGTTCATGTATTTTTTTGATTTTTACTGCTGAATTAGTTGATAAGTAGTCTTAAGGTTGACTAGCCTTACTTGTACGAATTGCAGAGGATTTATTTGGTTTGTGACTTGCACATGCTCCCCGGGACTGAACTGTCTACTAGTCATTTCTATGTGCAACCCTTAAATGATGAAATCCCTCTCTCTGCACATCCTGCGAAAGCGACATTGCGAGATGTGCAAAGTTCCCTCTTTACAAATTCTTTCTTTGAACGTGCAAAAGAACTGACTCTGGAACCTTTCATGAGACACAGCAGAGCGACTAAACTCAACCGAGGTCAGCAAGTTCACCACAGTGGCAGGAAGCACTTTCATTTCTGCGAGGGCAGCTGATGACTTAAAAGAAACAAAAATAAATGAATGACTGAATCCTAGAGAAGAGCCTGACCTGGTCATAACATGAGATTTTGTTTCTGTGGGAATTTCTGACACTTAAGCTTCCTTTCCTCCTGACCCAAGATGAAACAGCAAAAATTTCTCGTGAATTTTTTGAGGAGGAAAAAAAATGCTGGAAGCGAATCAATCCCAATAAAGCAAGTTTTGTTTCAGCGAGATCAAAGCACTTGCTTTTGACAATAATATTAATGCATGTTATGAATAATTCTGTTGATCGTTGAGTGCTTCAATTATCGGCTGGATGACATCACTATGTTCCCATGAAGCAAACGTGTTGTAACTTTCCAGTGAAACTTAAAACACGAGGGGGGGAAAAAATAAACGAGGAAAAAAAAAACCAACGAACTGATCAGCTGTGGAATGAAGCCTGAGGGTTGGAGTGAATGAGGCACCTCCCTTGAAGGAGCTGGTTTGGTGTACATAAAAAATGCAAATAATGAAGCAGGAAAGAATGACTTCAATTCTTTAATGATTCCTTTCCCTTTTGCCATCCCTCTATCAAAACTGTGAACAGTTTTTTAAGAAGCTCTTATTCAACGTTTGGCCTTTGCAACCTCACGTTCCTGCGTATTTCCTACTGCTTGACACAACTCATGCTTCTTGTCTCAGAAGAAATGTAAATCTTAAATGTAAATGTAAGGACTGTAAATCTCAAACTGGAAATCCTTTGGGGAAAAAAACAAAGCTGCTTCCAAAATTTAGGAAAAAATAAATGAATGCTTGACCCTGTGGTGGAGGAATGCCCACTGCCAGGCTATCCCTCCACAGCATGTCAGTGAATTTAGTTACTTGGGAAACTTTCACTGTATAGAATTTGTGGCAGTAATTTTGCTGCAGGATTATGCAGCTCTAACCAGTGAAAACTGAAGCCTCTTCCGTTAATTTGGGCTATGCATTTCTGTTAAGGCTGAACAGAAAAAGCTGCTTGATCACGTTCTGTTTGTAACTCTGAACTGGTGGCTGTGCATCGGTATGAAAGCCTCTGTGGGAGCACTGGGAGCTGAGGTGGGTGCAGCTAAAAGGATGGAGGAGAAATCTGTGAGCTCAGGGGCATTTGCTGGAAGTAGGAATTCTAAAAATTCCTCTAATGGTCTGCACAAACACCCCCCTTCAAACTCCTCCCCAAGTCCTGGGACTTGGTATTTTTACTCATGGCCCTGTATATTTTTAACTGTGTAGCTCCTTTTGCTTTCAAAATGTGCATCCACTGAACTAAGGCATAAAATTGCCTTTAACAGATCCAGCTGACCAGTCAGACCTAAACTGAGGCTGTTTGCTTCCATCTTAAAATCTTTTCTTTTTTTTCCTCTCTCTCCAAGGGCAGTGGCTTGGGGTTGTGGCTTGGAACCATGTTTTTGGAGCCTGTTACAATTCAGAGAGTATGGCTTTCTCACTTTGAAGTGTTTTCCTGCACATTGAATTAATCTATCTTCTGGAGGGAG